TGCGGTAGCCGTCACCGAGTGACACAAAGTGTCGATATTTTGTGGCTACAGGAAGTAAAAGATTTATTGTGAGCTCCATGTGTTCTATATGTGTCCAATTTGTGTACCTTTAGACTTCGATGCACATGATTGCCTATAAATGTACCAGAGTAGAATGCCTGGCGCTCAACATGAAATGAGGCTAGAGCAGCATCTAGTGCCCTCACAAACTGGCCATCCTCCTTCTCATATCCTCTGTCCTTTACTAGCTGTTTGGCAGCTAATCCCCTCTCCTAGTATGTATGTAAAAGGTACTGCATGGTCTTTTCATTTCGGTAAGCCTTACAAGGTCGGCGATTTGAGTTCTTCGCACCCTTGCTCCATCCTGCATCTGACTTAACAAGTTTGGGCTGTTTGTAGATGTTGTCTGTAGTGACAAGAAGGTCACTGCTTGATCTAGAGTGGCTGCCTCTTCCTCCAAGTGTTGCTTTTTCCCCCTGTAGCTCAGCCTTTTCTCTCAGACACTCACAGTACCCCTTGTAGAAGGACTGCCGTGCTGGCTCTTGGTTGTCAGCTAACTCAGCAGGTTTGACATCCAGCCGGCTGCAGGCCACTTCCAAGAGGGTGAAGAGGCGATAAAATATACCTAGGCTTATGTGCAGGCCTGGGAGACATGTCTATAAGAGAGAAAGCTTCGTTTAGGTTTGCACAGAAACATATGCTTTGTATAATAACCTGGTCTAGTGGGATTAAAAAGAAGGATTTTCCGATCACGTTACAGTGTTGTTTGGCCTTTCGAAGGTCCCCGCAACTCAGTGTTGTGAAGCCCAGGTAGTTGTGTTGTAGAGTTTGCAGTGACCTCAACTGAGGTGTAGACTGCCGTTCCTCTGGTGGGATCCACTTGGCACCACAAGCAGGGATGATGGCCTACAAGTTGAATGCCAATGTGCACATGTATCCTTATACACATGTGTAATTTACCACTGGCACCAGGGATTCCATGTGCACGGCAGAGAAACTCAAAATCTCCTGACAGGAAAACTGTGGTTGACTTGTCCCTGTGTGTGCACAAGCTAGTCATAACAGTGTAGTAGGCATTAAGTCTCTACCTCCACATTAACTCTTGCAGGTCTGATACTTGTTCTGAGTACAGGTCCAGAGCAATGTGGAGGTTTGTGAGAGTGTCGCTGGCCTCAAACATGGCTATTATGCAGCTGTTTTTCTGTGAGTTGGGGTTTTCCACATTCAAAAGTTGGAAATTCAGTTTGAATGTAGATCCTCCTTTATCACCCCCCAATTTGATCCAGATCTCTTCCTCTGGAATCAGGCCATTGTGCCAAGTTAGTTTTCCAAGCCTGAGGTTTAATATATTGCACAGGACCTTTCATTCTGGTCTAAGAGCTCTTCCACTTTCGAAACCAGATGTGGAATGTATGCAAGGGGAGCTGGTCTGAGTTCCTTTCCTCCTCTTTTCATTGGGAAGGAAAATGGCACAGCTTCACAGAGGACTTCAAGCCGGGTGCTGGTTTGTCTGAGGTTTCTCTCACTCTCAATCTGTACACCCCACAACTTGAGCCATCTACATATTTTGTGTGTGTAGGGGGGTATAATGTGTGACAATACTCTCTTTTACTTCCTCAGACTGCGCAAGGTGTTCCATGGAAGGTGGAGGTCTGCCTTCAGGGCTAAGCTTGGGAGATCATGGATGCGAACAGGTCGATTTGGTAGCAGTTGCTCTCTCTCAGCCTTTCCTAGTCTGCTGATTTCATCAGAGAGCTGGGTCTACCGCTGGAAATACTCCTGTGCTGCTCTATCTCGTCACTCCGTCTTCTCTTTGTGCGAGCACTCGATTCATCTGAAGTAACATGTGCTTTTGTTACCTTGCTGATTGTGAGTGGCTGCATTTTTGTAGTGCATGTTTTTGTGCATGAATGAATATTGGACTTACACGGCCTCCTGTGGGGAGAGTGATGGCGTTGTTTTCCGCTTGTAGAAGCATCTTTCGGACCAGGTGCCCAGCTGTCCTCTCTTCCAGTGGTATGATCTGTGTGTTCAGTGGCTGTTGAAGAAGTTGCTGAACTGTCAGACCCTGTGATGCATCTACAACATGTCCTTTACAGCTGCTGGCGATGTGGAGGTTGAGATTCTCGAGCTGAACTGGTTTGTCACAAATGCATCGTAGAACAAGCTTCAAGAGAAGCTTGTTGAAGATGGGTGACACTGAAACAGCACTGCCTGGGTCATGCTCAGCACCACATGAAAGACAGTTATCCCCTCTGTGACTCACCCAAAGCAAGCAGTTCATGCACATTGTTGTTTTGCAGGGCAGCTCCACTGGTTGGTTAACAATGCACTGGCAGAATGGGCACTGCGGATCTTCCAAGGAGACCGATCCTGTTGGTGGCTGAAAGAACCGATCAATGGAGAGAGAAAGTTCAGCACATGCGACCTTCGGACCAGCATTCTCTTGAAGGTGGTGGAACGTGCTCTGGGTAATCTTGATAACCTTTCGTGGTCTTCCGCCTTTAGACGGTTTCTCACAGTGCTTGCACAGTGCGCAGCGAGTGCTACGCTCCATGAAGGGGAACGGAATCAGAGTAGAGCTTACAGTGCCTGCCTCAATCTTCTTCATTTTTGCATAGCAGTTATTGCAGGTAGATGGTGGATGTATGTTCTCCCTGTCAAGATTGGTGTCTATCCCTAAGCAGTGTGAGAAGAGTGGCTAGCACATTTCACCCTTGCATGAATAGTGTACCCGTCCTAGTGTCTGTAAGCACACTCTGCAGCGCTCGTGTAGGTAACTTTTGTGGGCCCCTGCTTGTTGCATTCTTACAATTTGCAGAGTAGCGGTGACTAACGGGCAGCAGGGACTTCCCCGAAGAGCTTGGTGGAGTCGGGTGTCAAAGGAAAACTTCTTCTTTGTGGTGGGACCGGAGTAAACGTGGACACTTTTGTGGCTTCCCTGTGCGGCGACCTTGCAGCTGGCTTGCGCAGTCCCACGGGGAAGTGTATTTGTGTGCGCGGTTTTTAGAATCGTTTGTTTATTTGTGTGTTTGACAATGGTATTTATTTTCTCATCCATCATAACTATGATAAGTTAAAAAACACTATTTTTGCCAAAGCCCGCCAGCTAGCTTGTTTCAATACGTGCGCATTACGCGCATGAAATTGCGGGTGCTTAGAATCCTTTTTGTCGCACCAGAAACGGCCGTGGGAAATAGGCAGCCGCTTTCTCGTGCGCAGGCGCGGAGAGATTGCGCGCAGGAAGTGGGAATGTACCCGAGGGGCAAGGCTGTGTTGTTCTGTAAGCTGTGAACAACTGAGACTGGAAACGAGGTAAGCGGAGGAAGGCGATGTATGCAGACACGTGGCAGAGCGTATATACATATGCCTCCCGTGGGGAAGGGGGGCGGGTCCGACAGCGGATATATATGCTTCCCGCGTTAAAACTGTTAAGCACAACAAACAAGATTCAAATATCACTAGACTATTTCCAACAGAGGTCTAGTTACGATAGTTCATCACTAGGGGAAAGTTAACTTACATGTGCGTAATATTTCTGGCAAACAGCCTGCATATAATTCATGAACATTCAAGTATAATACGTAAGTGCATGTTGGTTTAGCATTAATATGCTTCTATTATAGTTGGATAGATATGCAAGGAATTACTGTGCCATACTGTCCCCTATGGATAAACTTAGTATCGTACACCAAGAAGAGTTGAATATGAAGAGAGCAATGAGGGATAATAAGGTACTTACAGTGTTTTAAAAACACAAACCCATTTTACGTTCATTCTTATTGAGTAAGTTTAGCATTTCCATACAAATCAAAATCTAGGATTAATGTTACACTCAGCGATCTCCACTGAAACACACTTACCTACTATTGATACCAACCAGCTCAACAGACAATCACAAAGAGACCTCATACACTGTTCTACCATTGGCACATCATAAATGCAAGAGCAGCACTTTGAAACTTTCTCATTTACCTGCATCACAAAAACCAAAAAAGATCGTGTTACGCAGTTAATTGGACTGCGACAGTCAGGGCAGTATTTACAAATGGTGGCAAGCACATTACACTTTCATAAGCGGAAACAACATCTTGTTGATGATGTTCAACAGAGCTGGATTGAGAGTCCAGTTGGTTCCGTCTCAGATGCAGTGTGCGTTTAGAATCCAATGCGCTAAATATAGGTAGATCCAGGTCTGCAAGACTCCTCCTATTCCACGTCGAGACTTCATGAAGTAATTACACTAAGTCTTCTCTGGAAGCCAGGGATATGTAGATAAGGCTGCCATAATTCTCACTGCCACACAGTGCCTCACGCTTCAGGTGCTGAAGCCTTTAAAGGGAGCTGGGTGAATCACCAGAACTTTTACATATCCCTCTGGCTGGAACCAATGTCTGACCCCGCAATTCCATGGACTATTTCCGTACTTGGGAGGACCAAGTAAGTTACTTCCTGTGTTGGCCGTATACGACATTTGGAGTATTTTTAAAAAACCCTAGATATTCGAATTGCAGCACAGTGTAAAGCTGCTTGGTCCTTCCTGCCAGTCATGATGAGTAGATCGTCAAACTGTCCTCATGTGGTTGACGGTGATTACTACAACGTCTCTCTCGTGGTCCTTGGCTGTTTCTGAAGCGAGAGGCTGCCTCCTGCAAGCTGTGTTATCATAGAGGCGTACGCATAGAGGACACGCGCGATCCGCACAGTCGCACACGTGTAATGTAATTAACCCTCGGCGTGCATGCGCAGCGAGGGTTACGGTACTTGGGTCTGTCTGTCTGTCTGTGTGTGTGCCTGTCTGTTACTCTTCATCTCACTTCTCGAGTGTTCATTCGTCTCACAAAGGATACCACCTACTGAATGGGCAATGAAGGTCAGAAATTTCGAACGGTTTTCTCTGAAAACGCTCCGTTGCAAAGCTAGAGCGAGAAAAAGCCAGTATGCAAATACACAACGGCTTACTACGGCATGATCGATTTGCGTGCTCTGCGTACCTCGGAGGCACCAGAAGATGCAACGCAGGGCGTGTATCGCCTCTCGCATGCTATCTAATAGTGTAGTTAGCCCGCGTCAGACTCTGCGGGAGCTGGCAAAAGACCACGAATAACAGCTAAACTAAACCCAGCCCATCAATTAGTGGTACGGCGCATGCGTTTACTCACGCGTGCGCGTCAGTGCTTTTCATTTTGAATTGGACTTGGCCGTTATCTAGAGTCACGTAGAACATTATGGTATGTGTCATATCTCCGGCCTGTTGCAATGACTAGGTTGACTCGCTCCCGTCGCCAAATATATACACCTCACTCCTACAGAAACCTCTACAGGTCGCAGGACCTTTGATGCTACACAAAACTGACGGAAAACTGATACATCTGTGAACACCAAATGAAACACAAAAGAGGCAAGTGCTCTCTGCAAACAGCTATCACAAAATGCGCCTAATTCAGGTCGATCTTGCACATCAAGTCTCCACTCTGCAGGATATGTCGCACCACATGAAAACTAAACAGCTCACGCTTTCACATGAAGAAAGTAGAAACCGAGAGAGAGAGAGAGAGAGAGAGAAGAGACTCCTAAAGGGCTTCATACCTACACTAAGTAAGACAAAAACAGCACATTAACAAATACCAAAAGCTCAGACATTGCATATACTAACTCTACATGCGTGAGCTGGCACACAGTGGTAGGGTGAACAAACGGAAATGGATGGGAGTATCAATGGATGAATAATCTTCAACCGCTTGACAACTTATATCTTGCAACGTACCCGTGGCAGACACCAGTATAGAGGCTTCAAATTCACTACTGCTCTCAAGTAGTCAAGACTCTTTGGGAATTAGGAACATGGTAGAGCAGAATCCTGCTCTCTGGCTTGACCCCCATTGGGACAGCTCCTTTCTGACAGAGTTTGACACCTTCTCATCTATCAGTGCAGTAGTAACCCATTTCACAGGGAAGTGAGACTGCAGAGGGGATCTTAGTAGCTCTAGGCAATACTAGTTCACTGCCTCCAGGGCCCATGGGTTGCAGGTGATTTTCCTCCAGTTGCAGGGGTAATGAGCTGTCATCCCAGAAAAAACTGACAGGGACAAACTGACTGTACTTAGACCAAAGCTGTCAAGCAAAGGAGAACTATCCCACAGGAATGCTGGATAGGTCATTGCCGAGATCCATTCTGGCTTTGTCAGTTAAGTACAGGTACGAGGTGTTCAGGGCTCAACCTACTTTTTAGACTGCTATGTCTGCTTCTAAACTGATTCTGGCGATGGGGTTGGGTCAAGCGGTTGAAATTCTGGCCTCGGGTGACGCACATCGAGATTCCACGAGTGTTTAGAGGCAGAAGGAAAAAACCCACGGGCCCCAAGGAAAGGCTTTGTACGGTAAGTACAGGTATGAGGTATGCGGGCTCAACCTCCTTCTTAGACTGCTGTGTCTGCTTCTAAACTGGTGGATTCTGGCAAAGGGGTTGTGCCAAGAGGTTGAAGATCTGGCCATGGGTGAGGCACTGTGAGATTCCACAAGTGTTTTGGGGACAGTTTTGGTTCTTGGCTTCTTGCCCGAGCAGAATGCTCTTGGCTACATTGCCCTGGTTGTTCTGGGCTGTATCGCCTATATATTCCGGGCTGAATTGCCATGATGGTTCTGGACTTCATTACCCTGATGGTTTTGGGCCGTTAAGCAATAGTCAAAGACCTGTGGTGCATGGCCGAATTTTGGTTAACGCGCAAGCCAACGTCTGACTCACCTGAGAGCGCAGCATGCTGATGCTGACTGACTACTGCCCACAGTGTGGGGAGCTCTGTCTCCGGTTAAGGGCAAACTGAGAATGTTTATATGGGAAAACTGCAACATCACGTAGTGAGCAGTTAAAATGGACTGAGTGAGCATGCACATCAGCAGGGTCAAAAGTCAATAAACAATAACACAACAGCAGATAGATGAGCATAAATAAGGCAATGCACATAAGAAATACACGTGGAAGGAGCAAACATCCAATTAGCTAGGGGTGTCAGCACATGCTCACAAACAATGGTTCACATATCCTATCTTAACTGGTTTTACCTGTTTTTGAACAAATTGCTTTAACGGAAAAGCCATTAATGTGTCAAACAGTCCCGCAGAATGCAGTAGGGTCACTAGCTCCTTAAACTTGCCGCAGACAAGAATATCTGAGAATAAAAATTTTCGCCATAAATACATAATTGTTTCACAAATTTTTTGCCATATGCAGTTCCTCCTTCGTATATTCTCTTGGGGAGAGAAAACAAGTGTGTGACTTCCCCGTGAGCGAATGGTTCCTCTACATTATGCTCAGTGACGCTCTTTGCCTTACACACTAAGTGCAGGAGTATCATGGCTGATAAATCACCATTGCCCGCTAGTGGCAAAGTTATGAATTTTTCAAAGCCAATTTTTTCATGGCCTTAAAACGCTTGCACGTACAAAAAGAGGCAGAGATAACGACAGAATTGGGCACAAAAACAAGGAACCGTTAGCTAGGCTGTGACGTTGAAAACTGGATTTCTGCTCTGTAGATAATTAAATAATATTATACAGGCAAATTTAAAAAGACGAGGAATATAAATATGGAGAAGGAGATATAACATAAGGGACATTTCATTGAGCATGGTTAATGACACCCCCGATCACATCACACAATCCCTATATTGTAGCCCTGGTGCTACTCTTAAACTCTTTGGACCCTACAATGGTGTTGGTAACTCAGTAGCATGACTTTTTTGTATATTCAAGCTATAGGTCCTGTCATAATGGTGAATGCACTTCACCTAGGCAACATAGGGATTGTGTGTCTGGGCTGGGGTGTCAGCATGTCCATGTGATTATCATGGAAACAGTGTAATAGGCATGCGAACCAAGCTTCATCTCAATGCGTGCTACCGTTAGGAGTGAAGAAGTAATTTAAACATTGCCTGATTTGTTGCAATGTTATGGGTGTTGAATCAAGAAGAAGATGATGATGAACAAAACTGCCTATAATAGCCCCATACATCTACGTATGATGGTAGGTACTAAGCCCATCCCAACATACTAAATCTAGTGTCATTGTAAAATTGAAGTGCAAACCTTCGGCAAACTGCGCATGCGTGGTACCGCTAATTTATGGGGTTGGCTATGACTATGGTTTACTCGTGCTATCCATGCTAGTTTGTCGCGGAGAGTCTGACAACGGCTAGCTACAGTAGAGCACGTGGGAGATGATACACGGCCTTCATTGCTATTTCTTGTGCCTCCAAGGTACACAGAGCGAGCAGATCAGGCCGAGGTAAGCCAGCACGATTATGGACATTGGCTTTTTTGCTTGTTTTCACGGCACATCTCTTGAACGCAGTCATTTCAGGCATTATCTTTTTCAGGTTGGCGTACTTTTGAGGCCATTGGTATCGCTCATAGGCCGCCTCGTAGCCAGTAATGCCAGAATAAGCGTCGACACACAGAAAAACACAGACAGACAGACAAACCAAGCACTATAACCATTACAAGTTACAAGTCGTCCCAAATTCTCTATAAATAAAAGGTCTTTAAACCATAATATCAAAAACTCTCACACCCACACAACAGTGTTGCTTCATATAATTATTATATATAATTATATAAGCATCGATGTAACGGATACATTTTCTGATAGCATGGCTTAGTAAATATTGGTATACTTCAGCCTTTGTTTCACAAACTCATTTGCATACTAATATTCCTCTCACATACATTGACTATGAGATAGAAAACCAGTGTGCGACTTCGCGGGATGTGTTTCTATCTCCACGGCCTAACATATACAAAAAGGTCTGGCCCCAGCGTATACAAAGGTAATGAATCTAACGCTCATAACATGGGCACGCCCATTTTTTGTGCTGGCTCTAATACGCCTCCATGTAACAGGAGGGATAGAGAACGCCAAGGTGCATAGTTGCAAGGAACAGTTCGCTCTGGTGAATTCATGCACTCCCATTGAGAATGTATGAAGAAATATGTATAGGAATATGCTATTATGAGTTTGGGAACAAATACCCAAGAAAAATTCCATGACAATTTCAGCCATCCTATTGAAAAAGGTCACTCGCCCCCAAGTTATATCCATGTAGACTTCAGTAGCAAGTTTGACAAGTAAAGGAGCAAAGTTTCATATCTGTGAACTACCATTAGCATACGATGTATAGGAGAAATGAAGATATTAAAAAAGCGCTTCGGGCTATTAGTTGTTGCTTACAAACATGAGGTCATCATAATAAGCATGCATAGAAAGTTTAATCCTCATGCATGCTACCTTTAGCAAATTGTAGGAGTGAATAAGTAAGTGCCTCAGGCTATGACAAACAGTCATCATAATAATGAATGTATGCCATGTGTCATCTCCATGCATGCTAAGAAGCAGTACAGAAAAGAACCTGAGCCTATTGGCTATTCGTTAAAAAAATATGTGGCCATCATGGATATGATGTATTATGCATACATAGCAATTTTCTTCATGTGTGCTACAGTTAGCAAAGTTGAGGAATGAGGAGTGAAGATGTAATTATAAAGAAAAAAGAAGAGACTATTTGTTGCTGCAAGCTAATATGTATAATGACTATAATCTATAATGCAAATGGCTCTTAACATTGGTGGTCACAGTAGCACAGCGTGACCTTTAAAATGTATTGCCTAGGGCATTTTGTTGTTAAAAACATCGTTTACAACAAATGAAAAGCACTAATGCGCAAACTCTCGGCAAACTGCGCATGCGCGGTACCGCTAATTTATGGGCTGGGCTATTAGTAGTATGCGTTTACTTGTGGTCTCCCGCTAGTAGTTCACGGAGAGTCTAGCTACAGTAGTAGATAGCATGCGGGAGTTGATACTTGCCCTTAGAGCCAGGCTCTAGTGAGTTATGAAATCTGATTGGTTAGTCAGAGGAATACTATTTCACATAGTATTCCTCTGACTGATCAGAGGACTTCTACATATAGAAATCCTCCCCGAGGCACATTCCATGTTTATCATGTTGTTATCATGTCATGTTTTGTTGTTCTCATGCTCTCATGTACAGAAATATGGCTACAACACAGCAGAAGATTAGAATGATGATGCATAGCTATTTATTGATGTTTATGGTGATGTTTGAGCAGGAGGTGAAATGAAATAGTCCTGAAGTGCTGTTTTGAGTGTTGGCCTGCATGTTTGTTGTTAGATCCAAATGAAGGCCTTGGGAGGGGTTAGCAGAGGTTAGTGCAAGAGGGTGGGGCTGCTCTAATCGGGGTGTTTTTCTGTTGAGTATGTCTGATAATGCTTCTCTTTGTGTGTCATTTGTACGCTTGTAGCTTCGAACACCGTCTAAGCTTCTGTGCCCTGTTCTTTCCATGACAAGTTGCTCATCCACTCCTGACTCATACAGTTGGGTAGCTGTTGTAGCCCGAAGGGAGTGGTTAGTCTTGTAACCCTTTATCCCAACCTGTTTGCACAGTTGAGACACTGTATTGCTGAGAGTGTGGTACCCCAATGGCTTTTTAGAATACCAACACGCCCAAGTAGGGTTACGTAGAGGTTGGAGGTAGAAAGAATCAGCTGGCCCGTCAGTGGGTGTAAGCTTTTCGTATTTCTGAAAAAGCCGAACAAAACAGCGATCAGGATTTGTGGTATTGGCACGATGCACTACAACTTTGGGCTTCACCCTTTTCCCCTTAATCCCACCAGGCCTATTCTTGGAAACATCTTCCACATACTTGAGATAGGCTTGCTCCCCAGTTGGCTCAATGATGCTAATCTGGCACGGCTCTGACCGAAGTTGGCGGTGTTCTTTCCCACTACGTAGTGCGAAAAAGAGGGTGTTGTAGAACACCATAGTGTCTAATAAACTCTGAGGTGTAGCATCTCCCGGTAACCCATTTTCTCAAAGCAGTTCTTCTTCCTCCTCCGTTAGGCCCTCAGCCTGCTTAGTACGCGATCCAGCTCCTTTTCCTTGCAGTCTCTTCATCTCTGCGTCCATGGAGGCTTTGAATGAAGCAAAAGCAGAGTCAGAGAAGAAGTCAATGGACGGCTGTCTGTTCCATCGCAGGTGACGCATGAGACCACAGCATATGTGATGCACCGTGTTTGGTGGATACTCCTCACCATTTTTCTTCCACATCTCCAGGACAAATCGAGTCAGCCAATGGTCAAGCTCGGAGTTACTCAACTGCGACATCTCTGCAAGTTGGTTCCAGTTGTGTTGTGGTGTTCTCGCCATGCTTCCCAAACCCCTAAGCAGTAGTTGGTGTCTTGAACTGTTTTAGTAGGGACTCCTTGGGCTCTTGCTTGCTGTACTTCTTCATCGGTTCTAGGTTTTGCGAAGCGGGCAGTTGCTGCGGGAAGAGGGTAGGAGCTCGTAGTCGGCGGCTAGGGGAGGAGCTCGTAGTAGTCGGAGGCTGGGGGAGAGGGGAGGAGCTCATAGTAGTCGGCGGCGGCTGGGGGAGAGGGGAGGACCTCGTAGTAGAAAGTGGCGATTGAAGATGTGAGGAGCTCATAGTGAGCGCAATGTTGGAGGAGGAGCTAGAAGAAGGGGATTCATAGCGTTTTCGCTTCGCTCGTCGGCGAGGGAGCGTTCGTACGCTTCTACAGCCACTGTTAGAATAGCGTCTACTTCGCCGTCACTCGAGGAATTTAGCCACTCTATAATGTCGTCGCAAACAAGCTCGTCCATTCTCTCTCCCGGATCGTCGTTCGCAGCGAAATTGTGTTGCCATGGCTTTAAATCAGTTAGGCGCCAATTCTCGAAAACCACGCGATTTAGAAAGCCTCGGGCCCTCTAGTAGTATATTTAGCTGTGACTTCTTGTGCCTTCAAGATACACTGAGCGAGCGGACCCGGTCGAGGTAAGCCTGTGCTAATTAGCATATTGGCTTGTTCACTAACTTTAGAATGCAGTAGTTTTATGAAAATCACCTTTTTTAAATCAAGCCAGTGTAGCGCTGAACCCGTTACTATCACTCTTTGGCCGGTTTCTTGCACGTGGTGGCAGAAAATGTGGTAACAGACAGACAGACACACAAATGGACAAACGGACAGACGGACACACTTACGAACCAAGTACTGTAACCCTCGCTGTGCATGCGCGCGGAGGGTTAAAAAGTACGACAATGGACATCTACATTCTTACAAAAAATACAGGCCATGACTAATATGTTACCCATTCTGGGAAAAAAACAAAGATATAAATTTCCCTACGCAAGCATGGAGTTCAAAAATGCACGGTTTTGGTTAATCTGCTTTACGAATGAAAAGCACTAAAGTACCGCTAATTGATGGGCTGGGCTATTAGTATGCGTTTACTCGTGGTCTCCCGCTAGTAACTCGCAGAGAGTCTGACACAGGCTAGCTACAGTAGTAGATAGCATGCAAGAGTCGATACACACTCTTCGTTGTGACTCTTTGTACCTTCAAGATACACAGAGCAAGCGGACCTGGTCGCATGCGCAGAGATAAAAATGGCCGACTACGCATTAGCCAACGGAGCATTTTCAGAGAAAACAGTTCCAATTTCTGACCTTCATTGCTCATTAAGTAGGTGGTATCCTTCGACGAAAGAACACTCGAGAAGTGAGATGGAGAGTAACAGACAGACAGACAGACCCACCTACCGCAACCTTCGCTGCACATGCATGCCGAGGGTTAATAACTACACCATTTTCACGTTCGAGCGTAGTCAATCCACCAATTCAAATCCACACATCATTGCACGTGGAATACTTATGCGGGGCATAAGCAGCTATGCGCAGTTGCCGTTTTCGCTGTTGTGTGCAGCATGCGTTGCGCATTTGAACGACACGCATATCACAATTTCGTACATTTTTCCAGAGCAAGTCATTGTATTTTTAGGAGATGAATCTGAAGAAGACTGATGCTAGGTACCAAAGCCCATCAAAACTTACTAAGTACTACTGTACTTAGTGATAATAAAAGTGCCGTAACAAAAATTTCAATTCACAGCACGAAACTTCACGATCAAGACACACATCAGGCCAGTCACTAGTGGCAACGAGTGTTGCTGGCCCGTCATCTAGTCGCCTCTTCTACATTACTGACAAACCTACAGGCACACACTTCCTGGTGGACACGGGCACGGAGGTCAGTGTCATACCTCCCTCCCAAGTCGAACGACAGAGGCAAGCGGATCACCTCACCTTGCAAGTGATCAACAGCACAGCTATAGCCACGTATGGCAGGACACTGGATTTTGGAATACATCAAACGTTCCGTTGGGTGTTTGTGATTGCAAATGTCCAGCACCGAATTATCAGCGCCGATTTCCTCCTTCACTTCAGTCTTCTTGTTGATATGCAAAACCGCCAGCTCTCCAATTGACTAACAGCGCTATGAATCCAAGGCATTAGGTGTAACGCCAAGTCTCCCAGTCCCGCGATCCTACGATGCCCTCCTGGCAGAATTTCACACGACTGTGCACATCTAATGCTCCCTTCAAGCGCAGCGTCACCCATCACATTGAAATTACGGAACAATTGGTCTCCGCGCCGGCCCCGCGATTACGCCCCGACCGCTCCGCATCGCACGACACGAATTCGACTATACGCTAGAGTTAGGGATCATACAGACCTAATCCAGCAACTGCTCCTCTCCACTGCAAAGAAGACACCTGGAGACTGGCTTCCCTGTGGAGACTACGGGGCACTGAACACCGCGCCGTCCCTGGCCGCTATCCTGTACCTCACATACAGGATTTCACCACCACACTGGCTGGCAGCAACATCTAATCCAAGATAGACCTTGTGCGGGCCTATCACCAGATCCCCGTCGAACCTTTTGATGTCCTGAAGACCGCCATAACAACACCATTTGGCCTATTTGAATGTCTCTGCAATGCTGCACAAACGTTCAACGCTTAATTAATCAAGTGCTTTGGGGCCTGAACTGCTGACATAGACGACCTACTTATCGCTAGTCCAACGCTAAAAGAGCACCAGTAGCATCTCCGGGCCATTTTCCAGTGGCTTAGCCATTATGGTGTCCTCATCAACAGGTCGAAATGTCAGTTCGGAGCCTCGTCACTCCATTTCCTCGGCCATCAGATCGATAGCAGTGGTATCCGCCCACTGGAGAAGAAAGTGCAAGTCGTACGTGAATTCCCACTTCTTCTTTCACCACGTAAGCTTTGTGAGTTCCTGGGGTTGGTCAGTTTTTATCATCGTTTCTTTCCGCATGCCGCAGATCTCCTGTATCATCTCAACCAGCTTTTGGAAGTCCCCAAAGATGGGAACAAAGCAGTGGCTTGGACAGAGCTAGCGAAACTGGCTTTCCAGGCAGCGAAAGCCACTCGTGACGTACCGACAAGTCGATGCACAGCTAGCAATCATGACTGACACATCCAACGTTGCTGTAGGAGCTGTTTTCCAGCAGAAGTTCGGTGGTCAATGGCACCCAATTTCATGCTTTTCCAACAAATTAAAGCCAGCGGAGACACGATACAGCGTTTTTGATCGCGAATTATCAGATGTCTATCGCTCCATCTGCTATTTCCGACATATGGTTGCGGGCCGTGAATTCTGTGTCAATACAGATCACAAGCCACTCACCAGGGTCTCACACTCTGCTCAGCACTCACCTCGCGAAACCCGAAATCTACATTTCATTTCCCAGTTCACGGGTGATATCCGCCATGTCAATGGTAACGACAACCAAGTGGCAATGCTCTTTTGGGGGTCGAAATAAATGCCATTGCTAGGGAGTCGACTTTGAGGCATGGCAAGAACTCAAGCAAGTGACCCTGACTTAGCGACTGTCAGGTCTTCACCCTCCCTCACGCTCGAGGACGTTCTGTTGCCGGCCTCTACAATCATGATCATTTGCGAAACGTCAACAAGAGCACATCGACCTTTCGTGCCACAGTCTTTCAGACACTGCGTGTTCGATTCTCTACATTCTCTCTCCCACCCAGGAGTAAGGACAACCTTACATCTGGTCACAAACAGCTACCTCCGGCCAGGTATGAAGGCTGATGTAAGCAAGTGGAATAAGTCCTGCCTAGAGTGCCAATGTTCGAAAGTCCACCATCACGCAGCAGCGTTTCCGAACGTTTTTCTTACTGCACCTTGTTTTTAAAACGTTTTTCTGCCTACTCTAGGTTGTTTCAGCCAATTTGAACCCGTTTTGACTACTCCACGTTATTTGTGTGTATTTACACATTTTGCTGTGTATGCGCACGCGTTTTTCAGCGTTTTCGAACGTTTTTCTCACTGCTCCCCTGTTTTTTATGGTGCATTGGAACATTATTCAGGGTGTTTATGCAAATTTGCACCTTTTTTTTACTGCTCTACATTTTCTATGCGTATTTGGACAAGTCAGTATTGTTTCCATGCTCATGAGCACATGATAAATATTTCAAGCTGGCAGCCAGCTCGAAATGGCCGAGTGCTCAACACAATTAACAAAACAGGGAAGGGGATTGGAATGGGCTAGCTAGGGCTAGGTTTCGGGTTTGATTCTCTTCATTTCCCTTTTTCTTTCAGAAAATTTCTAAGTGTCACCACATAGGTGACATCACAATGACAAAATCCTCACACCTGTCACATGAAGAATGAACCAGCTGGATTCTAAATGTGTGCATGTAAAAGAATATGGTACTACTCTTGTAAACCATTTTTAAAATGTAAGTAATTCCTTCAAAAGGGCTTTATGTAAGGTAATACCTATCGAAGGGTAGTTTCAATATTTGCCACTGTTACACAGATCATACCTTGTGAAACTATTCCCTCGTCTTCATGCTTAGGAAGCAAACTCCAAGACAGAAATGCCTTCATACATAGCTTCTCCACCAGTGTTGACAAAAACTGTGGTACTTCAAGACATACAGAACCAAGGAACACATTAACTCCAGAGCTTTGCCTGCAGAGGTATATAAAACAAATTGCTTCTAGAATAGCAATTGTCTAATTCAGGCGATATACTTAGGTAGAAATTACTACTGGTAGTACTCATGACAAACCCCTCAGGAAGCTTTTGTTGGAACATTACATATCCTTCGCGAAATGGTTGCCCAAAATTTAGGGAAATGGACAGTTAGCTAATCGCTACGTAAATGGGTACACATTTGTGTTGCCTGGGCCATCTCTGTAATGTAAAACCCTTGGGCCACAAACATATCCCATATTGCACATGCACGGCTGGGCTAATAACTTGTAGTCTCATTAGTAGCTTGCGGAGAGTCTGACATGGGCGAACTACAGTAGTAGATGGCATGCGGGAGTCGATACCCTTCATTGTGACTTCTTGTGCCTTCAAGAAGCACAGAGCAAGTGGACCCAGTCGAGGTAAGCCTCAGCTAATTAGCATATTGGCTTGTTCACTTGGTTTTCACGCCATAACTTTCGAACGCAGTATTTTCATGAAAATCGCCTTATTTAGAATCAAGCCAGTGTAGCGTTACTATCGCTCTTTCACCTATTTCTCGCGCATGGTGGCAGAAAACATGGTAACAGGCAGACAGACAGACAGACAGACAGACAGACAGACACACGTACGAAGTACTGTAATGTACTGCATGTATGCTCTAGCAACTATTCCACTGATCAAAGAACTGGACGGGCACTGCAAGCAGACATGGTATGTAGACGATGCTGCAGCAGTGGGGAAGATAATGGACTTCCAGGATTGGTGGGACAAGCTAACTACCCTCGGCCAGCGATACGGGTAGTTTCCAACCATTCCAAGACATGGTTCCTCACCAAAGAAGGGCTACATGCTACTGCAGCCTCCATCTTCGCCTCCACGGGAGTGAAGGTGACTCCTCATGGCAGACCCTACCTTGGGGCTGCCATCGGCTCACCCAACTACATCTCAAGTCATGTGAAACAAAGGTTAGAGAGAGGGCGGCCAACCTACGTCGCCTCGCCGAGATAGCCTCAACACAGCCACACGCAGCCTTCTCTGCCTTTACACATGGATTGATGAACAAATGGATATACTTGAGTTACTAGATGAAATTCTAGGCTCAGCTGTTATCCTGCTTTTACAGGAAGACATCCACCAGGCAACCTGGAACAAGACTGGGCGGACTTGGTCTACACATACCAAGAGCTGCAGCCAACGAATACCGTGCATCCCAACCCAACCGGTCACTTCTACTCTTTGTGATCACATCATCTCCCAAGACCGAGATTATAGCTATGAAATCATCGCCAAGCATCTAGAAGCCAAGGCATAAATCAGCCAGTAAAGTAAGGAGAGAACTTCATCTGAGTTAAAAGTCTATGAGAATTTGCCGGTCTCACTACGTAGAGCCGTGGACTTGGCAACTGTGAAAAGGGCCTTCAACCTGGTTGACTAACACAGCATGGCTTTGCCCTCCACAAAGGGGCTTTCCACGACACACTAGCCCTCAGATATGGTTGGTCACCCTCTGAAATGCCATCAAAACGTGCCTGTGGAAACAATCTTTCCCGATAACACTCGGTGCGCATGTGCAGCAGGATTTACAGTAGTTGGTCTGTGTGTTCGCTTGTCTGCAGGTATTCTCGCACTGATAGGCTACAGTCTACAAGCAATAATAATGACAGGTTTATAACTAATGGCAATTTTCCTGAAACGACTGCGTTCCAAGAGATATGCCATGAAAACCAGCACAACTGCCAATATGCATGATAACCTCGAACAGGTTCAGCTAATTCAGCCACCGCTCAGCGGTTAAGTTACTCAAACGATGTGTATCTGGTGAAGTGTGCTACTCGGTCGTGCAGCCAGTGTGAGAAACTAACTACGTCGACAGGGTACACCACGTGTGATGGCCAATTACTTAGCGGTGCTTTATGCATCAAGCAACACGTGCCCAAATGCACTTTCAGTCCTCGCAATATCACTATTACCAGGTTATCAATTACCTTCATCCCTTTCATCTTTGTAAACCTGCTATCTGCCAGAACCAGTTGAAGAGCTCATTTTTTCACTAAACACCTCCAGATTCGACAGAGGTGGGGTCATAAAGTAATTGTTTCCTGCTTGTCGCAAGTCACTACGGAAGATGATGGAGTTCTCTTTGTGCCCAAGGTTGTAGCTAACATTGTAGTTTGATATAGTTTGATTACTAAATACGTCCTTGTAGGAGACTATACATGGTTGAATACCTCTGTCCCTGCTACCCCCTGCTACCCACTGGTTTCAACCATTAGAATTTCCCCATGGTTTATAACTCTAGAACACATCCATGAACGTTAAGAGTGACTGTAATGAAAGATGCAGTGTCGTCATAGCTCTTCAACAATTGTAGCAAAAGTGCAAAAATGATTTATTCCAAATGAAAGGGATTATAGGGATGGCTGAAAGGAAGAAAAAACGGTCACTACAGCAAAGATGCACAAAACTACATAAATGACAACGTTCTCATACTACTGTTCATAGAGTGTCAGTAGATGCACGGCTCAGGTCAAATCCAACGTTATCAACCTGCATAAAGCCTCAAAACTCAGTGAGTATGACATGCTAGGCCCACTACACAAATAGTGTACAGGCCCATATCTAGCTATACATTCGCTCAACAACCTCACACGTGCCCCCAGTTCTCCACGCGACAATTCACTCACACAATTTTATGATTTTGTATCATCATAATATTATTCATCTTCATTGTCTTTATCTTCAGACCAATTTTCTCACTGATTTTTTCACTCAATGTCTACAGGTTCGCCGAAAGTGTGCATGGACACCAAGTATTTTTTGTCACACGTCACTACAGCAAATTACAGTGGCCAACAAGTGCCATCCTTCCATTTCCATTTCGTGTTTCCATTTACCATATTCACCTCCCATTTTCCATTTTGTACTCCACTTTACATATTCTGTTCCTTTTTCCATTTTGCACTTCCATTTCGCGCTTCCATTCTCGGTTTTCCCAGCTTAGCTTGACCAGCCGCACGCTTTAGTCCACCACACCCCACCAGACCCCCCGGATCGGAAAAATGTTGACGAGGAAGGTTAGCCGCGCAATCAGGCCAGCAGTACTCCCAGCAGCAAAGGCAACCCCAAGGCTCGGCGCATGTGTTTTTCTGTGTGTGTCCATTATCCACGATCCTCTGATGAGCCGTAGCATCGTCTGATCGTGTGCAGCGCATGGTGGCGAACAAGTTAATTTGGAAAGTTGAAGTACAAAATGGAACATGGGAGGTGAATTTGGAGAATGGAAACACGAAATGGGCCACCGTAATAAATTGAGCAGCTCTTCCATAATTACACTGAAGGAAAGCTGCTAATTCAGCATTCTGTAGTTCAGGGGCGTTAACTGAGATACACGTGCAGTGTCGTGTGGCTTTGATTTCGGCCGTAGCTACCTTCGTTCTGCCTGTATTTTTGTTCAGTCTCGCGGAGCCAGGGAGCTCCAAATTTGCTTGGGGAGAAACTTCTAGAGAAGCATGTATGCATTGTTAGACACAGTGGGTATCTATAGCTACAATAAATCTTGAGCCTCTTGAAAAAGAGGGGAAATAAATGGATGGCTGAAAAAAGTTAGAAACAAGGGTTATTTCACAGGACATGCAAAGCTACATGACTCCTTCTGTCCCATTAATTCACACACAAAATGGTTTCAATGTAGCTTTGCTGTGGAATTACCCCTTGTTTCAAGCCATCCCTATATCTCCCTTCATTTTGGTTTTTCCACTTGTAGTACAATAGCGCGGTCAATCAATAGCGATTTACGCACACACATTTCTATTGCATTGAGGATTTGCACTGTACTACCATACTTAGAAATTGAAATTGGCAAGCGGGAGCAAGCAAACCTAGTGGTGCGAACGGTGCTATTTTTCTGTACAAATGTTCGTACATTCTGGATTACGCCTTTTTTTATCGGAAATGATTTTTACACGCTTCCTTAGCTTGCTCGATCCTCGATGCGCGATCTACCATCCGAGAGAACTCTTGTCCGTTCGACGGCATGTACTGCATTATTTGGTGCCTGACCTAGGCTGTACCTATTTCCAATCTTCGTGGTTCAAAGGTGCAAGTTGTCAATAGGCTAGGATGGCGCGTGCAAATACAGTCATTGTGAGCTCACTTCCGCTTATCCATGTCAATAATCGTTCCATAAGGATTGAGCTTTGGAGTGATGAAACTGAAGTGACAATACAACCAACTTCACCAACATGCTTTTCAGCTTCTGAGTCATTCATCAAATTAGATTAATAACCATTAATCATGGCTAGACGATCTTCCACTTATCTCAAACTAATACCGGAGAAACTCACACTTCTATGTGCATTTGCATCTACTGGAGTTCATAAATGAATCCTCAAGTGTTGCATACGTACCTTAACACCAGTAAACAATGTCATACCACGGTCAAGCGTAACATCAAAGGCGCCGCCACTCGTGTATACTAAGAGGACTGCAAACCGCATAAGTTTGCTATACCCAGCAGGATGTAATATCCAATCAAAAGGTACTTTCACCACAAAAACTTTGTTTTCTTCTGCATTGCAGTGCCCAGGAAAAGCATCAAAAACAGTTAAAGTAGGTTGGTCAGGTACGCACTTTTCCTCCTTACACAGGGAATAGGGAATGTTTTAGGTGGTATGTTGTGCACTTGACCAATGATTAGGCAAATGCCAGACAAAAAAGTTTGGGTTTTCCCACACGCATGGGAAGGAATTAACCTGACATTTATGCAGCGATAGTGGCAGTAATCCAGAACGTTAACCTTTTTTGAGTCCTTGCCATGTACTATGTAGTCAAAGTGGGAACTAGCTTTATGCCAGTTTGATCCCTGTTCACAACTAAATCCAAGAGTGTAGGATCTAATCATACTGACAACAGAATGCAGGTAAGACGCCTTTCTAGAGTCGAATTCAGCAGGAGAGTTTCGGGTTGCTTGATTGACTCCCTACGAATTATTAAAAGAAAAATCTACTCCATGCAGTAGTTAAATTAATTTGGAGACCATTTTCATCCTAAAGTGGTAGATCATTAGACACAAGAACACCCCTAGCAAGAGATATTACCAGCAGTAGGGAAACAAGAGTTCCTGCTTCTCTCAATGCTCTGATGTACTGCTGTAACTGAGAATCGAGTTCTCCCAAGGTGAGAGCCAGACTCGATTTTTTGATGCAATAGCAGTAACTGGTGTGAGCGTTTTACTCTCTTTTTCTCCTGTGCTTCAAAGAAAAGATCCCACCACGCCCTCTCCTAACTAAAACGGTGTCTTAGAGCGGCAGAGTTACCATTCTCAGAGGTGTATTTTTGCTGTTTGTTTCTCCCTGTACAAGGAATGGCGCTTCTTGTTCCAGGGGCACAACAGTCAAGTGTTTTTTCCAACTTCTGCATTCGCATGACTTGTCTTTTTTCTTCCAAGGCCACTCTGCCCCAAGCTTGGGAGAGTGCATTGATTTTTGTTCTAGGAAGCACCACAAACTCATGCTAGTATCCTACAAAAAACGTGAATTTCCAAAATGTGGGCCCATGCAAATGCACACACCTGCTTCACATGTGCGCACAAAGAAAATTCAAATTAATTTTGTGACAATGCAGGCTCACACAAACGGTACTTGTGCCCATGAGTAGCTATTGCATGACACCACATCAAGTCACATTCTGCATTATAACCAGAATGTAGGTTTACTGTAAAACTACCAACCTCACAGAGTGATCCTCAAAACCTTCCTGAGCTTCCGGCATTAATGCTACCTTTAGTTGCCGAACTGAATTCATCAGCATGTATAAAACATCTATTGTGGGCTGCAAGAAAACATTAACTGTAAGTATACTTGGTTGACTAGGATATTGCATTCTCTATGAATTCTATCTACTAACACTAGTCAGAAAACTTTTTTGGCCAAACGTTTCGACAGCTCTGCAGTCCTCATCAGTGGCAAAAAGTACAAAAAGTAGGCAATGGCTAAGTTTTTAAGGCATGAGAGAAGGAGGAATGAAAACTAAATTCCAATGTAACTAAGAGAGGAAACAAGAGGCAAGAATGAAAATGAAATAGCGAGGTAGCTAGGTTTGCAAACGGCAAAATATTAATTCGTAATACATAAATTACACAAAAAATAAAATAAAAGTGGGGGTACGAAAAGATGAAGGATAGAAAAAGAAAGAAACACACTTCAGTGCAAACAGCGATATACAGGTGGAAGGGCCCCCCCTTCCCTGTTGAAGCTGGGATGTCTCTGTATGTGTTTCGAAGGTGTGCCCTGGAGTCATGGCACATACATTACGCATGAGCCATTTAAGTGGCGCGCAGCGCCCAAAGTGTTAAAACTGCTTGGGTTGACCACATCCTATCTAGTTGAAAGCAGTAGCTATGGAGAATGATGCCCGAAGCAAGGGGCAGTAGACAGAGAACGTCTAACGCAGGTTACCTTAGTGCAGACAAAATTTACTAACAGAAAGCACTGGACAGTGAGAATTGCACAGTCGTTAACAACTGCCAGGCAAATGCACACCTCACTGCGCGCATTAGGACGACGTCCATAATCGGCCCATGCTACTAACTGCTTGCTAACATAGAAGCAAATGGCGTGGTTCAGTGTCTCCTACTCGATCTACTGCAGTGACTTTCGAAAAAAGAAAGTAGTGCCAGAACAAGTGTCGTCAGACAAACATTTTGAACAACTACTGCAACCCTTGCTGTGAATATGCGCCGAGGGTTAACAACTCTTCTCAGTCATATGTAAAGGCTATTGCATAAAAATAATGAAAGCACTGAAGTGCAAACCGTTGGCGTGTGCTCGCTAGAGAAGCAAAGTTGAGGAAGACCGCCTATACACACAGTCTTCTGTGAAAGGCTTCAGACGAGGTAAGCATGCTACCAAGTGAGGCTCATCTTCGCTCTGCATCTGCCATTTTTTAACTAAACAATAGGCTTGGTACAGGATTAGAATACCTTGTGCATGCACGAACAGATTGTGCCAGGCACGAAACAGGCGCGGACTAAAGTACGCATATGTGTTGTACTGCAAATTTATGAGCTGGACCATTTTACCTACTCGTGGTCTCCTACCAGGTCGCTGAGAGTCGGTAACGGGCTAGCTACACTACTAGACAACATGTGCGAGTCGATACCCCGCATTGCAACCTCTGGTGCCTCCAAGTTACGCAGAGCAAGTGCATCTCGGTGCTATGGAGCGTGCATCTCAAGGTAAGCCCGTGCTAATTTTTTTTATGTTGGCTCGTTCACTTGGTTTTCACGCCGTAACTCCCTAACGCAGCAGTTTCAGAGGAAAACCCCACATACATTTGGACCTTTACCTGACACTGAATAGATGGTATCGTTTCTGGAGCGATTGATTCCCCGTGAAGAGAGATAGCTTGCAGAGAGACAGACAGGCACACACGACAACTACCGTAACCCTCGCAGCGCATGCGTACCGAGGGTTAATGCACACTTGGTCCGTACTTCACGGGTGCAAGGTATAACGTGAATGCATTCCTCCCACCGTCAAGACATTCATCATCCTCGGAGAAAAGAAAATTCTTTGACAGGTTTGGTGGAATAAAGGTACACTAGTTACTCTACAACATCCGTGGCACCACGCATGCAGTCTTGCACAGCCACACATATGAGTTTCTCCTCATGGCAATGGGTGCAGCTTCAAAAAACAGCAGCCTTACACTCTGTTTTGTTGCATCACAGACTGTATATATTAGAGTACGATCTCTCCTTGGTCACCTGTTCCTCTGATTATAAATTACAATGAGAAAAGACATCCTAGTGAATGTGATGCAGGAGTAAAATGGATGATAGCTTTATACTTCGAACTGACATTGCTTGCTCGTGTAAAGTATATAATACACATAATATAATTAAACGTATATTATACACATATCTAAGTATACACATGTGGTCGCGAAGTACGAATGTGCTTCCTTGAATTATGCGCAGACATGATTTATTTAGAGAGGTAATGCACTCCCCTCGGTTATGAGTGGTGACTGCATTGTGTGAAGTCTAAAAATTTCACCTTTGCTCAACTGTTTACAATGCTGACTTTGCGGTACATTTAAAGAATTATTTCACAATTGTCCTCGCACTTTAGAAAATTCACTAAACAAACCCATGTCAGTGAGTAAAAGTGGCAACAATATACGGTTCATGTGGAGGAAACTAGCAAGAATTGACAGTTCGAAGTAGGTAGCAATACTACAGCACCACATTTACTGGGACATTCTTGTCTCCTTGCTTTTAATACCATCCCTATTATTACCTAAATTTCATAATTCAAAGACTTGTCTCTTTTCCTTGATTGGTGTGCAACAAAAAGGGGCGGCATAATTCCCATAAAAAGTGGCATTAGTAGCCTAGAGCTATAGTTTCAGACGGTTTTGTCATCATTCACAAGTTTTGTTATTCAGTGTACAAAGTTCCATCATGAGAGGACCCACCATAAGCAAGTTATAGGCACAGACATAATTAACAAGTGTTTATCGCAAGTGTTCATTAACAAGTGTTTGCAAGTGTTATAACTCTGGGTAATAGCATTAACTAGTTATTAACCCTCGGCGCGCATGCGCAGCGAGGGTTACAGTAGTTGGGTCTGTGTGTGTGTCTGTTACTCTTCATCTCACTCCTCAAGTGTTCGTTCGTTCTCACAAAGGATACCACCTACTGAACGGGCAAGGAAGGTCAGAATTTCAAACAGTTTTCTCTGAAAACGCTCCGTTGCAAAGCTAGAGTGCTTCCACCATTGTACGGCTAATGTGTAGTCAGCCATTTTTATCGCTGCGGAAAATGTGCTTGTGCTCATGGTTTGAACAGGCTTTAACCTCGACCGGGCCGCTTGCTCTGTGTATCTTGAAGGCATAAGATGTCACAACGAATGGCGTGTATCGACTCCCGCATGCTATCTACTACTGTAGCCTGTAGCTAGTCCGTGTCAGACTCTCCACGAGCTACTAGCGTGGATACCTCGAGTAAACGCATACTAAAAGCCCAGCCCATCAATTAGTGGTACCGCGTGTGCACAGTTCGCCGAGGGTTTGCACTGCTTTTCATTATATTATTATTTTTGGACTCTATCGTAATGCATGGCCTGGGTTGTTGTTACAAAATTGAACAAAAAGCACTAAAGTGCAAACCCTCGGCGAACTGCGCATGCGCTTTACCTCTAATTGATGGGCTGGGCCTATTATATTAGTATACTCGTGATCTCCCGCTAGTAGCACGTGGAGAGTCTGACACGGGATAGCTACAGTAATAGATAGCATGCGGGAGTCGATACACGCCCTTCGTTGTGATTTATTGTGCCTCCGAGGTACACAGAGCAAGAGGATCAGGTCCAGGTAAGCCAGTGCTAATTAGCACATTGGCTTGTTCACTTGGTTTTGACGCCATAACTTCTGAACGCGGCACTTTTACGAAAATCGCCTATTTTAAAATAAAGCCAGTGTAGCTCTGAACCCGCTGGTGTCGCTATTTTACCTGTTTGTTGCGCGTGGTGACAGAAATCGTGGTAACAGACGGACAGACGGACAGACAGACCAAGTACTGTAACCCTCGCTGCGCATGCACGCCGCCGAGGGTTAATAAAGATGTTCTTGGACGACCTGCCACGTTTATGCAAAGTTTCAACTCTGTACCTTACCTGGATTTTGAGATACTCTTGAGGTAACGACGACAACAAGAATTCTTAAAACTGACTTTCTTCAATAAATCGATGACCAATTATGTAATACTAGTCGTTTCTTAGGTACGTGCATATTTTGACCATAAGGATCTGACTGTAATGTCAGAAGTAGGATCGGATTGAACAGTGAAATTGCAAGTTATAAGTGAAATGTCATATCACAATTGTATTTGATAACCTGTGTCATCCCTATCGCACGGTAGTACTTAGTAAAGAGGGATGACAAGGGTTGTCCTAGTAAGTATACTTGGTTGACTAGGATACTGCATACTCTATGAATTATATTTTGGCCAAACGTTTCGACTGCTCTGCAGTTCTCATCAGTGGCAAAAGCACAAAAAGTAGGCAATGGCCCTTTTTAAGGCATGAGAGACAGATACCCTGACCACTCATTTCTTGTACTCTTTTCAGGTATGTCAGGCTTCTTGTGTCTCACCCTATGCACGAAACTGATTTTTCTTCGCATCACCCTTTAACACACAAGGCAGCTGTGGTGAGCACATTCTTTTATCGAGCAAAGAATCTGTGCTCTACCACCCAACATATAATTACCGAACATAAAACATCATGCAAGACACTCAAACTCAACAACTATCCAAACAGTTTCGTGCATAGGGTTAGAAACAAAAAGCCAGACATACCTGAAAAAGTACAAGAAATGAGTGGTTAGGGTCTATTTTAAATTCCTTATGTTACGGGTCTGTCGGAGGCAATACAACGTCTTCTCTATCCTCCGGGTTGCATACTTCTACCCTTCGAAAACAACTGGTCAGAGTAAAAGACCCAGCTACTCCTCTCAAAAAAGCTAACGTAGTCCACTGCATCCCTTCTAAGACCTGCTCCACGTTGGCCAGACAAGAACCGCCTGTTGGAAATGTGTCTCAGCGAGCGAGGCAGCAGTGAAACATGCAAGGACTGATGTGTCTGCTGTGGCTGAGCATCTTTGGAAATTGGGCCATAAAGTAGACTTCCAATCTACATTAGGAGTCAAAAAACGTTTCCAATTTCGTTCCGTCTCTTTTCGTTTGCCGTTCACTATCGTTCCGTTCCTTTTCCGTTCAGTTTCCGTTCAGTAGTGAATTTTGCGTGACACGCCCTCTGCAAACGCGGTAGAGACTCGCTAGTGGGGGAGCGAAACAAGGTTTTTTTCTTAGCGCAAACGTGAAGCAACAAGAAGGCAGAACCCACGCAGGTGCTAGAAGAAATACCTTCACAGTGAGGCCTTCGCATCTCGCAAACGCATGCACGGCAACGATTCTAAACGGAACGGGCAACGGAACGGAACGAATTCCAACGGTAAATGAACGGCGTTTCAGAACGGAACGGAAGCTAAACGAAATAGAACGGAATGAAATTGGAAATGTTTTTTGGAACCCTACTGTACTTAAATCCTTGA